GCTTGCCAGCGGCAGGCTGGGGAGACGGTCCCGGTCGGGACTTCCGAGTGAGGATGGCGGCGGCGGCAGAGTCCCAGCCTCACCTGGGCTCGCCAAAGCTGGCTGTCGCACAGGTGTCCCAGCCTGTCGCAGCCGTGCCATGGACCCCTGGGCTGTGGAGCAGGACCCTGGCCCTGCCCCAGGACCCGGATGGGTGCACTTTCGTGCCGATGGCACATGCTATCCCTCTGCAGGTGGACATGGCCATGGCCCTGCAGCGCGTGAAGATCTCCAATAAGTACGGGAGGAGCTACCTCTGCCTTCTGCAAGCGGTTTATGTCGCAGGTAAGTCTCCTGCTCGCATCCGCTTCCTAGCGGCCTCGGGTTCCTGCCTAGCTCCCTCCCTGCTCTGGGCATCTGCTCCCTCCCCAGCCCGCCAGCGGAGCGTACTTTGTCTTCCCCTTCACTCTCCGTACCCTCGCACGGTCCCACTGCAGTGGCGCTCCCGAGCTGCCGCGCTGCAGGCGTGCATCTCTCCTCACCGCTCCGACCTCGCAGGACCGTGAGAAAGTCCTAGGTGGGAATAGACCGCATCTCCCGACTCCACATGCTGCACACCAGAACCCAGCTTCTCTGATGGGGTGCACTTCCCGTGCAGTAGTCCCCCAAGCAAGAAAACCCCGGGTTTCTGTGACAACACGTGTAGGGGAAAACAAGTCAAAAAGTGGGGTTCTGAGAGCCTCTGCACCGCAGTTGGAGGAGGAATTATAGGAGAAAGAGCAACTGCTATGGATTGGGGCTTTTCACCAGACCAGTGCCTCCTTCCTGCTGGGTCCACTAGCTCCCTGCATTCTGGGGTCCTCACTGCAAAGGCAAAAGCTATTTTCTATAAGGACAAACGGAACAAAGCCAATCAACTCAGAGAACCTTTACCGATGCTGCTGAGGTTTGAGGGGTGTGAGTGGCACTACATGGACCTGGCCACTTGCCAGTCTTCTGGGCCCCAGGTTCATCAAGCTGGAGTTGCCCAGCGCTGGGGTTTGGGCAGCAGGGTAAGCACAGGCTCTGGGGCTCTGAGCAAGTAAGTTCCTACCCGACTATTCTGACTGGCACCTAGGAGCAGCCCAAGAGCAGAAGGCTACTCTGGGCCCTTAAGTTGAGCCAGGGCTTTTCTGACAAGTCTCCAAGGTGCTGCAACTGATGGGCATGTGCTCCCAAGGTAGTTATGTCTCACCAGGTGCTAAGTATTACAATGTGAGTCTTGGCATTTCAAAATACAGGCTTGGTGGCAATTTTTCACAAATCAGTTAGCCACAATCCATGCTCCAGGTATCCCTTCTGTTCGTGACTGAATCTTAAAGACGTCATGCAAACCGCTTTAGAAGACCAGAGGAAACAATTCAAGGCTGCAGAATGTGAATCTTCAGAACACAATGTTCTTGGGACCAGCAGATGACATTGGTTACATCGCTGGACTCCCACATCTTTGACCTCAGTTTGAGTCCCAGACCAGGTGGCTTAAAACTCACACTGGGTGTGTTTGTGTGCATTCCCAAGATCCCAAGAGGAGAATGGAAGAGAATGGATTGCGGCGTGGCCAGTCTCTTTAGGGGGTGATTTCTTGCTTTCTGTCTCTGTCTCTCCAGCTGATGCATGTGCCCTATAGCAAAAATCTCTTTAAATACACACACACACACACAAAACAAAAAAGAACACACACACACACCACACAATGATGTTCTTTGGTCTTGCCTTTGTTTTGAGGTGTCATTATTAGTTTCTATACGTAACGACTCATTAAGGATAGTGTAGTGATGGGGCACAAACATCTTCAGGTCTTCAGAGCAATTTCAATGGTTTCTGGAGGCTGCAAAAGAACCTTGCTGAAACATTCTGTGCAGTACAGTGGTGATACTTTGTGTCTTGTTCTTTTTTCTTCCCTGCATCTTCCTGAGAGCTAAAACAAATCTCCATAGGAGAAATGTGTGTTTAATCATTCATGCAAGCCAATTAGTTATGCTATGAGATGTTTAAAAAATAATTATTTCTTGGGACCAGCAGTTAGCGTAATGGCTGTGTCTCTGGACTCCCACGTGGTCGACCGCAGTTTGAGTTCCGGACCCGGTGGCTTAAACTCACGCCGGGCGCCTGTGCGGGCGTGCCCAAGATCCCGAGAGGAGAAAGGAGGAGAAGGGATTGCGGTGTTGCCATCCCCCCTGGTGGGTGATTTCTTGCTTTCTGTCTCTATGTCTGTCTCTGTCTGTCTGGCGAGCACATGGGCCCTATAGCAAAAAACTCTCAAAAAATTAATTACTTCTTTATTTTATTTGTTATTATATTTTAATTTGACCAGAGAGAGACAGAGAGAGAAAGGGAAAGTGAGAAAGCAAGCCGCCAGGTCTGGGACTTGAATCATGATTGGCCATGTGGGAGTCCAGCACCCTTAACCATCACACCACCTGCCTGTTCCACTATGAGACTTCTAAAAAAATTTGTTAGCCATAGGGTGAATGTGCTTACTGAAGGAAGACAGAGAAAGAAAGAGAGAGAGAGGGAGGGAAAGTGAGAAATCACTCCCCAGGGGGGATGGCCACACTACAATCCCTACTCTTCATTTTCTCTTGGGATTTTGGCCATGCACGCACGTGCACCCAGTGTGATTTTCAAGCTGCCAGGTCCCAGCACTCGCACCGTCATTGACCTTGTGGGAGTTCGGTGTCTTAACCACCCCACTTCCTGCAAGTCTCTGTGCTAGGAAATTTATGTCGACTTCTCCATTACCAGTGGTTTCTCTTATTTCTAGAACTGTGTGATGTTTCATCTTCCTTTACCTTTGAAGACTTCAGTATGTTGGCAAGTCTCTATCTCTGTGGCATTGCAATGCATTGCCACACCTAAATGAAACCAGTTACTAAGCTGTGTTTTTACAAGAGCTTGCTGTACTTTTCAGACTTTTTAGCAGACTTTTCCCTGTGGACCAACAGACTACCCTGGAAGTGATTGTATTCATGCAGCTGGAGCACATGCCATATAGTACAATCATCTTGAATGTGACAGAGATTTCATATACTTTAAAAACAGATGTTTAAAATTATGTTTATGAGGAACTAGTAGATGGCATAATAGTTACATCGCTGGACTTCCACATAGGCGACTGCAGTTTGAGTCCCAGATCTAGGTACTTAAAACTCATGCCAGGCACAATCCAGAGAGAAGAATGGAGGAGAAGAGATTGTAGAGTGGCCATCCCCCTTAAGTGAGTGACTTCCTGTTTTCTGTCTCTCTATCTTTCCAGAGAGCGCTCACACCCTATAGCAAAAATCTCTCTAAAAAATTATATGTTTATGAAGCTTTTCATTATATTAGAGAACTTTTTGAAAGATCACTTCAGGGCCATCTTTGTGACCTGGTGGATAAGGCAGCTGGATCCCACATGGTGGATCATGTTGTTGGAGTCCTAAACCTGATGACTTGAAAAATACACCAGGCACGTATGTGTGCATGCCTAAGAATCCCAGCAAAAAAAGGGAGAGATGGAAGATAAGGGATTACTGCCATTCCCCATGGGAGGGGTACTTTCTCCTCTTACTCTTGTGAGTGTACATGTCCTCTGGCAAAACAATAATAAAAAATAAAATTAAAATAAAAGAAAGAAAGAAAGAAAGAACACTTCAATATTGGCCATTCATGGACTGCTCATGACCCAGAATTATGCCATAGTGTGAGTTAATTATGTGTGTGTGTGTGCAGGATCTGCCCTGGCATAGCCACAGAAGGAATGAATGACTGACCTCACATAAGGACTTGGAGGGAAGACTTCTTGGAGACAGTGGATCTTGAGGGATACACACAAATTTCCAGTGGACAGAGAGCTGGGAGAAGGGTATTCCAGGCAAAGGAAATCTGAAAATACTGGTGGAAAGTGGGCAGCATAGTAGGTTGGGGATTTGTAGGTGTTTTTTGTTTGTTTGTTTTTGATTTGTTTGTTTTGCTATAGGGTGCATGTGCTCGCCAGAGAGAGACAGAGAGAGAGAAAGAGAGTAAGCGTAAGAATTTACCCTCCAGGGAGGATGCCCAGTCCTCAATTCCCTCTCATGCATTCTTCTCTCAGGATTTTGGGCATGCACGAATACACATTTGCTGTGATTTGCAGGCTGCCAGGTCCAGGACTTGAACCACACAGTCAGTCATGTGAGATCCAGCCACCCTAACCTCCATGCCACCTGCAGGCCCTGTAGGTGATTTTTATTTTATTTTATTAGAGAGATTTTTGCTATAGGGCATGAGTGCTCACCAGACAGACAGAGAGAGATGCCGAGACAGAAAGTGAGAAATCACCCCCAAGGGGATGGCCACGCTGCAATGCCTTCTCCTCCATTCTCTCTTGGGATCTTGGGCACACACACAGGCACCCAGCATGAGTTTTAAGCCACCACATCTGGGACTTGAACCATGGTCCACTATGTGGGAGTCCAGCGACATAACCGTTATGTCATCTACTGGTCCCCTGTAGATGCTTTTGAAATGATAAAAGTGTGTAGTATAGAAGGTATAGGAGAGAGAGACCAGTTTGAAAAGACCAGTAGGGGCCACATCAGGCAGAGCCTTGTAAGGCATGTTTAAGGGTTTTACTTATTTCCAGGGTGATGGGGAGCCGTAGAAGAGTTGTAAGCAGGGGATTTATATCCTACATATGGTTGTATGGATTGTCTTCTGCAAAACTCTCAGGGGCTCCATTCACACAGGTTATAGCATGAATGATGCCCTTACAGAGTTGTGCAGTGCAATGTACGCAGAGGTTCACAGCTGGGTATGCATGGTGGGGGCCTTTTACCTTTACACAAATTACTCTGGCAGTTGTGTGGTGGAAGCAGTGTAGCATGTACACAGAAGAGAAGACAAAGATCAATGCTAAGGCGACTAGTTAGAAAGCAGTTGAAGTATGCTGGTTATGAGTGGATGAAGGAAGGCATAGACTATCAGGTCTGACTATGGGGAGGAAGGGAGAAGCCTGAGAGGAGTTGGGGGGATGGAATGGTTTAACTTGGTGGTTAGGGTTTTTGAAGGGCAAGGAGGAGACTAGGTTAATTCCAGGTTTCTGGTTAGAATAACTAGGTAGGAACAGATGGCATTAAGATAGGGAATGAAAGAGGAAGAGCAAGTTTGGGGTTCAGTTTTGGTTATGTAATTTCTGTGGAATATTTGATTAGAGATGACCAACAGGTCTGAAGCTGAGAAGAAATAGATCTTATTTCTGTTTTGACCTGTGAGGTCCATTAAACAATTCCTGACACTGAAGCTCTTCCCTTGAAATATGCTTATTGATGGGTTATCTTGATAACTCA